GTCTTCAGAGACGTCTACACCCGTGATCGTGCCCTCTACACCATCCGCGACCACCAACGCTTCGACGAGTGGAACCAATACACCCAAGGAGAATGGGGTACCATCTGAAGAGACGCTAGAGGACAAGACCGCGTTGGCTGACCAACTCAAGGAGAATGGAAATGTCGCTTTCAAAGCACGCAACTATGAGGACGCGATCAAGTTGTACACGGAGGCTATCGGTTAGTGTTCTTCATCCAATTGACGCGTTGTATTTTTGTTGAGATTTCTTGTTTCTGTTAGACCTAGCACCATCGCAGGCGGCTTATTATGCAAACCGAGCGGCTGCCCTGATCGCCACAAAGGACTTTCGAGCCGCGTTAATAGACTGTCAGCAAGCGCGAACACTTCAACAGGACGCACCTCAAGTAAAAACACTAGTGAGACTGGCTCGATGTCAACTCGCAATCGGTTCGCCGGGGCCAGCGCTTTCTACGCTACGGGAGGCGCAGGCGCTTTCGACCGAGACCAATCGAGATTTATGGAATTTCAAGACGAATGCGGAAACGATGCAAAGGCATTTAGATTCTATTGCGAAAGCGCGGGGGACGGGGGACTGGACCACGGCGAGTGCCGCTCTGGAAGCGGCCCGGAAAATGTTGGAGGGCGACGCAAAGCACGCGCCGACGGAGTGGAGGTGTTGGTCTGTCGAGTTTCGGATGGCGCGCAAGGATTGGAATGGGGCTACGGATGCGATCCGGGATGCGTTACGGTACGAGGGTAACTCTCCGGACGTTCATGCGTTACGGGGCAAGGTATTGTTCCTCATGAATAAACCATCGGAGGCGACGAGCATACTTCGGCACGCGTTGACACTCGATCCTGAGAATGCGACGGCGAGAAAGATGTTGAAACGGGTCAAGGAATTGGAGAAAGTCAAGGAAGAGGGGAACACTGCCTTTAAGCGAAGTCAGTGGGAGGATGCCGTTCTAAAGTACACTGAAGCTCTAAAAGTTGTGGGCGAGAGTCCTGAGGAGGGCGAGGGTGGAATCATTCGAGCCATCCTCCTCAGTAACCGGGCCCTAGGCCTCAGCAAGATGGCCACGGCTGAGAAATATGAGGAGGCCCTGTCGGATCTGGAATTGAGTCTACAGTTGTATCCAGACAGCTGGAAGGCGGTCAGGACACGGGCGCGAATTCGACTGGCCCAGGACGATTTCGAGCAGGCCATTGCCGATTTCCGTGAGGCCCTGGAACTCGCAGAAGGCGGGGTGGGGAATGAGGGTGCACAGTCTGAATTGCAAGACGAGCTACGAAAGGCCGAAGTGCTTCTCAAGAGATCCAAGGAAAAGGACTACTACAGTATGTAGACTTTATTTTATTTTGGTAACTCGTGCTCACGTGGTTACAGAAATTCTGGGTAAGTCTCGACCCTAATGGTCTAGATATAGTCTCACACCTAACGCCGATAACACTCACAGATCATTTCCCTTTTGAGGATTAT